AAGCTCGATTCCTCCCAACAATAAAAATTAAGAATGAAGAAGAAGAAGATCGGATAAATGGTGTGAAACTGCAATCGACTTTTAGTTTTTTTTTTATATACCGTATATTGAGAAAAAAAAACAAATCGCGCCCTGCCGGGGCGCCACCCATGCGAATTTGAAATTTGTTTTTCGCAGAAACCTCCCCAGGAATATTCTCAACAACTTCCTTAAGTTTCACGGCGATGTGATGAGAGGTGTAGTAATGCATTAAAGACAAACAGACACACACACATACATTGCTTTTTATATAGATAGATAGATAGATAGATAGATAGATAGATAGATAGATAGATAGATAGATAGATAGATAGATAGATAGATAGATAGATAGATAGATAGATAGATAGACAGACAGACAGACAGACAGAGAGACAGAGAGACAGATAGACAGACAGACAGACAGACAGACAGAGAGACAGATAGATAGATAGATAGATAGATAGATAGATAGATAGATAGATAGATAGATAGATAGATAGATAGATAGATAGATAGATAGATAGATAGATAGATAGATAGATAGATAGATAGATAGATAGATAGATAGATAGATAGATAGATAGATAGATAGATAGATAGATAGATAGATAGATAGATAGATAGATAGATAGATAGATAGATAGATAGATAGATAGATAGATAGATAGATAGATAGATAGATAGATAGATAGATAGATAGATAGATAGATAAAAAAGTCACAGGAAAAAGTAACAGTTTTTGCTAGGAAAAAAGTCACAGAAAAAAAGTCACAATGGAAAAATTTTATCGGGAAAAAAAGTCCTCAGTAGGCATTGTCCGAACATATTTTGTGTTGTTGACGGTATGCGTCAATGACAGTATTTGAACCTTGTCGGCTTTCTGTTTTGACCCTAAGTTTTGTTATGTAATGAGCGTGATAAATGTGGGCAGTAAAGGTGGTTGAACTAAACATAACTATTGTTGCCATGAGTTTAGGGTAATAAGTCAGATGAACTTAACATTTCACGGTAATTTAATATTTGTATTTAAAAAAAACAAAACGCGATGAAAAACGTGGACTTTGGAGCATTCTATTAAATGCTACTAATCTTGAGTTTAAAATAATTACAATCGACATACTTCATAATAAATATTTTTAGATGAATTATAAAAATTCCTATGCGTATACAGCCTACACACATTACATTACATTTCATTAATCCTAAGTTAATTTGCACTCTCTAAATATTTAATACATAAAAGTATTAACAAATATCATGCAAATATATATTTGTGACTTTTTTCCTGTGACTTTTTTTCCTGTGACTTTTTTTTCCTACAATCGGGGGTGGGGGGGGGAGGGTGACGGGGTGCTAATGTCCTAGACCCGAGGCTGACACATATCCTTATCATCAAGAGAACTAGACTTGCCCAAAACATGAACAACCAAACGTCCTTGTGTTAATTGAAAAAGGAGACTGGAGCAAGATATTATTTTCAGCTAGAGGCTTCTGAATACACAGTTTTAAATAAAAGTTATTGACTATAGTTATGGAAAATTGACATAAGTTGTTGATTCAAATGAAGATTCCAATGTTTTTAGGCAATAAAATCCTTGTTATTTTGAGTACTTGGTAACTCTGATTATCGATCATAGTAAACTGTACATTCTACATGCAAAATTCCTTCCAGGCATCTCTTCGCCCCCCCCCCCCCTAACGAAAAGACATTTATTTAGAAATATATACTTTTAACAGTGTCCGCCCCCCCCCCCCCGAAGAAAGTCTACCGCCCCCCCCCCCCCAAATTTTTAAGTACTGATTTGCTAATTATTTTGTATTTCTAATTATTTTAAGTGTATGTGCTAATTATTGCTGCTACTAAACATTGTTCTGGCTCTTCTTACTACTTGAACTTTAGTAAATCTAATCGTCTTATTTTATTAACAGAACTAGAGCTAAATCTAGATCTAGTTGTCGCACATCTTCTGCAGGTTTTTAGCGCAATTTCCATTCTGGAGAATGGACACCAGCGAGAAAAGTCTCAAAGGTATTTGAGAGGTGTATAAATTCATTTAAAATCATGCACAGCGTAGTTACAATTAATATGGTTATAAAATCCTGTCTGTCTGGTTTTTTTTTGGACTTTACTAAAGATTGGATGTATTTGATGTTTATAATATTTTCGGTAACTAAATAAAAATTAAAAAAAAAAGCAAAAACAATTTGGTTTTCACGTGTAATGGCGACATAAACAATGGCATCCTGCTATTGGATAGGCCGCCATTGATTTTATTGTACACATTGTAAGCTAAAAATAGAAAACTAGGTCATGGGGTTTTTAATTTGCATTGTTATTTAAAAACTTGATCTGCAAAGTTTTGTAAACAAATAGTTATCGATCACTAAGTTACTGTACAGCCAATCAATATTTGTCTTACGAAAGTGAAACATCCGGTTATAACTTAGGCTTGATGAAAATAAATAGAAATGTAGCCTTAAACTCAACAAATTATTTTCAATGTTCTCTGGATTTGCAACTTTTATAGCATTTATTCTAAAAATATAAAATTTCTAAATTAATTTTAGGCTTAAGTTTTTATTTTTTATTTTTTTTACGGTCTAAATCTAAAAAGCACGTTTTTATTCCATGTCAACAATATTATGGAAGGAATCTCGTCAACTCGCTCGCCTCCATTGCGTTTATTAACTCGTCATTTCTGGGAATGGATGGATGAATGAATGGATGTATGTGTGTCCGCAGCTTTAAGTCGTATCTCCTCCTCAACGAAGCAATATCGAGGACTAGTTCCAAAGCAATTATGTTAAGCAAGTTACGAGGATGAACATAGGCCAAAAGAATTCCGGGTTTCTTTCATGGATTTCCCGGAAAAGCCAAAAAACCTCGAACAAATGCAGTTTTTGGCCCATATCTCGGCAACCAGACCACTTAGCGACTTGAAACATGTACCAATCGATTCCTGCCATAATTTAGAACAATATTGCCGAAGAAAGTTTTCAAAAATATCCTTCCGTTCAGTCACAAAATTTTTTTTTAATTAATTAAAATTTGGACCGAATTAGTAGGCATTTTTATCCAACCACACCACACGCGTCATCACGTTCAATAGCTGCGACATCACGTTCGATAGCTAGGCGCGCAATGGTTTTTAGTCATGTAACTCTATTGTAAATAAAACATGTAAAATACTGAATTTTTTAAAATAAAAAACGTTTTAATAACTAACCAATGGTTTTACTCACCCTGCTCTTGATTTACGCTACGACAGAGCTATTTTTAGATAACATAAGGAAATTGCGCTTAAATGTCACTAGACTTTTTAATTAACTTGTTTTCTGTTTCTTAAAAAAAACATTAATAACTACACTCGACTTTATTGATAATATTTAAATTTACTAATTGTTGCTAATTTTTTTTTGTCAATTAAACATTAAATTAAGTTAGAGCATTCATTTAATGCACTTGACTCAATTTTTATTTCAACGGTCAAATAAACTAAAAAATTATGGTTTACAGCAGGGGTCTCCAAACTACGGCCCGCGAGGTCCTCTCGTCCGGCCCGCAGAGATCTTTTTGTCCACGGAAAAAACGTTTGTTGGTAATGGCTGAGGAACTTTGCTCAGAAAAATCACGACATGCCTGGAAGAAACTGGCCCCCGAACTGAAATTTGATAGTTAATGCGGCCCTCGGACTGAAAAGTTTGGAGACCCCTGGTTTACAGTAACGAATGTTACCGAAACTCAACAAACATTACCCAATAACTTCCGACGCTATAATAATCCCTACATCGTGAGTTTACCAGAATCTCGATTGCAGTAGTCTATCTAGATCTAGATCTAGTCTAAATCTAGATCTAGATCTAGTCTAAATCTAGATCTAGGCTCGAAAAATAAACGACAACGAAATGCAATTTTGTCTCATTTGCAGTCATAGTCTGCTTTTTAGAGCTCTGCGCGATGAATGTGACACTGAAAGTCTGAACTCCAGGCGTTGTCTGCTTCTGGGGTCTAGATTTTCACTCGGAGGCAAACTTTAGAAATCTAGATCTAATGAAAGACTCTAGATCTAGTAATGATTGTAGCATTAAATTAGGCCAAATTTTTTAAAAAATTTGGTTATCTATCTTTTTAGGTGCGTAAAACCGGCCAAGGCTAGATCTAGTAATGTGTGAAAAAGTTGCCTCATTGTTGAATGTTGAGGCTTTACTTTAATAGAAGCATATTGTGATATATTTGTGATATATTTGTGGCAAATATTATAGATCTAGATAACTGAAAAATAAACAAAAATCAATGGCTAAATTTAGTAAATTAGTAAATAGATTCTATATCAATATAGAATAATATAGATCTATATACGCCAGAAATTTACTTTAAACTTTAAACAGTAGTGTTTGCTAGCTAGATTTGCTATATATATATAGTATATATTATATAATTACAGCGGTATCTGTAAGTCAGAGTGGTTTCCCCTGAATCTCTAACTATACCCAAAAATAAACAACTTAAGATGGTTGCTAAAGTAAATGAGCTTGGTTGCATCTGATGAAAACATATCTAGATTTTTTTTTATTGAAAAGTTTTAATACAATTGTTTAAAACAGGTAGATCTAGATTTAGATTACATTAAACTTTCAAACAATTTTGTAACTTTTAAAACATAAATTCTCCTAAAAATGTAAAATACTAAAAAAAAATATTTTTTGAGTAATCTATCGGAAAAGCAATGTCTACTAAAAGTAGATCTATATCAATAATCAATATAGACCTAGGCCAGGAATTAACTTTAAAAAGCAGCTTGAGAGCAAGATTCTCAATATATTCTGTATATATTATATAAACACATTTTAAACCAATATATCTGTAAATTAGAGTGTTTTCCCCTGAATCTCTGATATTTTTTTTGGGGGGGGGGGGGGGGGGGGGCGGACAATAGTAAAAGTATATGTTTACCATATAAATTCCATCTCATTCGGGGGTGGGGGTAGACTTTCATGGGGGAAGAGATGCCTGGAAGAAACTCTGTACACCTGGGGACAGTTGAAGAGACTATCCCAGGACAGATACGCATGGAAAGCTCTTGTCAGCGGCCTATGCCCCAGGAGGGGTGACAGGAGAACCTAACCTTACCTAAGTCTGTAGTTTGTGTAGATGAGCTTGGTAGCATCTTCTGAAAACATCGCTAATTTTTTACTTATTATTGAAAAAGATTATATCCTCCTAAAATTGTGACATAGTTACTAAAAATTTAATGAGTCACCTTTCTTTCACATTACTAGCCCCAGCCGATTTACAGCGATCTCCAGATGTACCTAAAATGATAGATTACCATTTTTTTTGTTTTATGTACCTAATATTGTACATTTGTTATTGAATTGTTAGTATTAATTAATAAAAAATTAAGTCTAAGCCAAAGACTTTGTCATGTGATATAGGCCTATAGTATATAGTTAGATCTAAAATAAGAAAAGTATAGGCCTAGATCTCCTTATAATTTAAATTTATATTATATATAATAGGCCTAATTAATTAATTATAGTTTATAGGCCTAGTCTAATTAATAATATATTATTATTATAAAATTAAGCCTAGAAACTACACACCCTACACAGTGAAACAGACAATTTATTTAGCAGTTTCAGAATGACTCATCTTTATAAAAAATTTAAGTTAAATCCTCATATAATCAACTATGCAAACACAATATTTTATCAAACTAAAATACATGTATTGCTTAGTGATTATGGCTTTCAAAGTGTCAGGAGAGCTCCGTTTTGTAGTAATTCCATAAGATTAGGCAGTGCTTTAAGTGAGAGAAGTGTTCGTAGATCTCTTCAGTTATTTCCACAAGCAAATTTAGAAAATGGAAGGTTCCATACCAGAAGGGTCACAAAACAAATTGGAATTTGGACTTGGAAGAGGTTTTTCAAAACTTCGCCACAGAGATTTGGTTTCAAACAGCCGACGCAGAAAAATCAAATGCTGTTGCTGTTTACATACCTTTCTGGGTTGATCGGAGCTGGTCTTTTAACAGCTATTGTTTTTCGTCAATATTCTCGCATGTCAAGAAGAGCTCAGGGCGTTGAAGATATCAAGATTGGCCATTATGGCAGGAGACCTCATCTGTTTAGATACAGAGGCTATGTCTATCCAGATTATGTCATCAATGACCTCAGGAGCATTCATCAGTTTGATAGCAGGGAAGATGATGTCTGGGTTGTAAGCTTTCCTAAATCAGGTAAGCTCAATATTTCTTCATCTTGAGTCGTCTAGTTTTTTTTAGTCTAGCCCAACAGTTGGTTAGCTGTAAGCTATTTGATAAAATGTAGTTATGAAGGTTCTTGGAGAGTAAGCTCCAACAGGTTATAGTCTAAGATATAAATAAAACAAATATAAGATAATAACAAGATTTTGAATGCATTGAAAATAAGAAAATATAACAAAATTGCTTTCTTTGGTTGCTCATGAGATCTCTGACATATCTTAGCCACTAAAGCTTTTATTAAAGAAAGCAAATTAGTTAATTTTGTTATTTCAGTGCATTAAAAGTTTTACATTTTAAACTTTTTATATTTATTTTCCACTTTTTCATCATTCATTCAAAATAAAGTTGACACTACATAGGCTCCAATTAAAAATCTTTGGACCCACCAGTAGCATGTCATCTAAAACCCACCAGTAGCATGTCATCTAAAACCCACCAGTAGCATGTCATCTAAAACCCACCAGTAGCATGTCATCTAAAACCCACCAGTAGCATGTCATCTAAAACCCACCAGTAGCATGTCATCTAAAACCCACCAGTAGCATGTCATCTAAAAAATTCAGTTATCTGACACTACATAGTTTGTGGCAACAATGACGAAAGAAATCAGCCAACAGTGACGGACAGTTAACCCTCGACAGTCCTCAAATCAAGTAGTTATCATGATCATCATAAATACATCATAATACTTTTTTATAATTAATATAATAATCTTTAACTTTAAATTAATTTTTATGGACTGCCTTGATGTCTAATTAGATTAAAAAATAAATATCCTTTTATTGTCATCAAAGAAGAGTGTTTGAACCAAGTCGCTGCATTAGAAGCAGGTTAAAATGGATTTAGAAGATGAGGCATAAACCCATAAAAAGCAAGCAATCAACTAGACGTTGACAAACCTACAAAAAGTAAACAATCAACTAGACGTTGACAAACCGACAAAAAGTAAACAATCAACTAGACGTTGACAAACTCACAAAAAGTAAACAACTAGACGTTGACAAACCCACAAAAAGCAATCAACTAGACGTTGACAAATCCACAAAAAAAGCAATCAACTAGACGTTGACAAACCCACAAAAAGTAAACAACTAGACGTTGAACAACCCACAAAAAGTAAACAATCAACTAGACGTTGACAAACCCACAAAAAGTAAACAACTAGACGTTGAACAACCCACAAAAAGTAAACAATCAACTAGACGTTGACAAACCCATAAAAAGTAAACAACTAGACGTTGACAAACCCACAAAAAGCTAATAATCAAGCACACATAAAAGCTTGTAAAAATGCTATTGTTTCTCTGGTAGGTACAACTTGGCTGCAAGAAATAGTCTACCTTGTCCATAATGGGGTGGACACGGAGAAAGCTGCCAGTGGAAATATAGAAGAAAGATTCCCTTTCTTTGAGTGGATCTATCCAGGAATAAAGACACTAAACAACATGGCATCCCCCCGGCTTCTGAAAACACATTTACCACTGTCTATGCTGCCTAATGACGTGAAGAAGAAAAAACCAAAGGTAGTCAAATAAAAATCTGATCTAACCATCTGTTAGTCCCAGCTCATAGTGCTAATGATCTAGTATAGATGCTAACCAATTGTTTAAGATGAGCAATCAATAACTCATCTGTTTCTAATTGTCTTATCTGGCAGCTGTAGAAACTGATATGTGGCAAGTAGATTCTAGTGGCAAGTGGTACTAGTAGCTTTCCTTTTTTCTCAACAGATTCTGTACATTGCTAGAAACCCCAAAGACGTTGTTGTCTCCTATTATTATTTTATGACCAAATATGTCATAGAAGACCAGCTGTTTTCTGGCACAATGGAGGATTACTGTCAATTGTTTATTGATGACTTGAGTGAGTACAAACCATCATTTCTCATGAATATCATGATGACTTGAGTGAGTACAAACCATCATTTCTCATGAACATCATGATGACTTGAGTGAGTAGAAACCATCATTTCTTATGAACATCAGCTACTCAATTCCCAGGTTGCTTTTTGAAAGTTTTAATAAAATCTAGTTTAAGAATTCATTTGACTGTCCTTGTAATGTAATAAAATCTAATTTAAGAATTCATTTGACTGTCCTTGTAATGTAATAAAATATGCTTTACGTTTATACAATATGTTTGGTTGAGTGCAGCACCCAACTTTTCTTGTGCTAACATCTGACCTAACATTGTAGTGGTGGTGGGACAACTTGGCTGTTAACAATCTAAGACAGCACATGCTACTAAACCTTAGATGTAGTGGTGGGACAACTTGGCTGTTAACAATCTAAGATGTCTCTAATAATTGTTTTTTTTCTCCAGTATTTTATGGTCCATGGTGGAAACATGTGAAAGAAGCTTGGGATCGGAGAGAAGAAGGAAACATTCTGGTTTTGTTCTATGAAGACATGCAGCAGGTATGTACTCTTCACAAGCTCTCATCAAACATATGCAACAGATTCTCTCAACAAATTCTCTCAACAAACATGTGCAACAAATCCTCTCAACAAACATGTGCAACAAATTCTCTCAACAATCATGTGCAACAGATTCTCTCAACAAACATGTGCAACAGATTCTCTCAACAAACATGTGCAACAGATTCTCTCAACAAACATGCAACAGATTCTCTCAAACATGCAACAGATTCTCTCAACAAACATGTGCAACAGATTCTCTCAACAAACATGTGCAACAGATTCTCTCAACAAACATGTGCAACAGATTCTCTCAACAAACATGTGCAACAGATTCTCTCAACAAACATGTGCAACAGATTCTCTCAACAAACGTGCAACAAATTCTTGAAACATGTTGGCTTCTACAAACATGTCAACTAAGAAAAGTTTGCTTGCTCACAGGACTTAAGGAAAGCTGTTTTGGATGTTGCCACATTTTTAAACAAGCCTCTGACTGAGACGCAGGTTGATTTGATAGTGCAACATTGCAGCTTCGCCAGTATGAAGGACAACAAAGCTGTCAACTATGATTGGCTCAAAGATGTTGGTGCAGCGAAACACAATGAAAATTTCATGAGAAAAGGTTTTTTCTCCATTCATTTCAAATTAATTTTCTACATAACCTAATGCTGACAATGCTTTTAAATGATGGGGTGGGGGAAAGAGGACGATGAGAAACAGTCAATGAATCATTCGCCTAATTATGAACAGATTTTATATTTCAATGTAAGTCTGGATTGTTTTTAGACTGGTCAGGATGTTGTGTTGAAAACTGGAATAAGTCTGAATAGTTTTTGGACTGGTCAGGGTGTTGTGTTGAAAACTGGAATAAGTCTGAATAGTTTTTGGACTGGTCAGGATGTTGTGTTGAAAACTGGAAAAACTTTTCACAACTATGTTGTTAACAAGTTGAATAGAATATGAATACCTCTAATGATAACAGTTTATGCATTTTGTGACATCCCATCTGCTTGTGACCATTCAAGGCCATCACAAACTCCAGTACAATTGAACTAATGAAGCAAAATTTGCTGATCATTATAATAAATATCACACTAATTACTTAATTAAATAAATAAGATTATTTATAAATACAATATATTACTTCACCAGGACAGGTAGGTGACTGGAAAAATCATCTAAGTCAAGAAGTCATTGAAAAGTTGGATGAAGTAGTGGCCACCAAATTGACATCATATGGCGTGCCTATTGTGGACACTTTGCCTAGTAAACCATCTTGAGATTGTGTGAGAATTTGATTAGTTAAATAAGTCTAGCCATAAATATGTTGTAATTGTATGTCAATATCATTTTTAAGTGTATTTATATTAATTATATAGGCATTTTAGTCATATACCTGCAATAGTACCACTGATATAAAACTGTTTTTATAAGGCATTTCAACTTTTTAATTAGAAATAATTCCTTATTTATATTATTATGATGTTTGCCTCACATTTATATGTAAAAATCTAATTTAAAATAAATTTTTTGTAGAGAAGATGGTTCTTGTTTCTATTAATACATTTAAATTAAATGAACACCTAACTGAAAGCACTTAGTACAAACAAGGCTGCTACAAGAAACATCCATTTTATTCTGACTTTTTAGTGAATAAAGTCGTGATCTGAACTCTCCTTTTTTTGGGGACATCTTTCTCTGTGGTCTCTGGTCTGTCCTCTGTAAGACAGTTGGCACCAGACTCTTCAATCCTCATTGCTTGGACAGAACTGGTTAAATCTGGTTTTTTAGCACTGTCACTTTTTGTATTTGACTCTGGGTTTGATTTCAGTATGGTTTTTTCATCTGTTTGGGATGTTTTTGGTGTCTGTTCACACTGTACAACTTTTGGTGGTTTTGTGCAATTAGAGGAACTTGGAGAGACTTCCTGATGATTTTTAACTGCTGATTTTGGTGTTGAATACTGAGCAAAAGGTAGACTGAGTTTCTCAGGGGTCTTCTCCATGTCAGTATCTACAGCTGAGTCTAGCACTGTCTAAAAATAGAAGCAAGAAAGTATGTCACATGTTTTCAATATTCAGTGTCTACATTAGACCATTTAAAGTTACATCCAACATTTCTTACTTTATTTGCTGGAGAAGACGAGATTTTCTCTGTGACTGGTTCCTTGTATGGCACACCCAGTTCGCCATCTTCAAATGTGGCAATTGTGCAGAAGCCATCAGTAGACGAGACAATCAAAGCTTTCCCGTCACTTGTCCTAGAAGCATTTTTTAACCATGGCAACTATAAAAGCATTAAGGTAAAAACTCTGACTGCTAACTTTGACAAAAATGTTAAAAACCAGTGACTTTGATTAATGACAAAAACTTATGACTTTGATAAACTCTTTTACTTTAAGCCCATAATTATTTATTTTTTCGCAATCAATTTCTACAATAACCCTGCAGCAAAATGACTTATACTTTTAGCCCATTGATTTAAAACACAAACTGATATAAATTAATCGTAATTGAATGCCCAACAAACTAATATAAATTTTAAGCAATTATTTACTAACTGACAATAGATAACTTAGTTTTAAGGGAAAAAAAAGGGTTGATTTTTTTTTAGGCCAAAACAATGCTTCTGTGAGGAAAATTAAAAATAGATGAATTATTTTTCAACAGTTCTGAAAACGAATGCAAAGTCTATTGTCTACAAAAATCATGGATCAGATTAGTAATATTTTAAATTTGGTAGCCATGAACCTTTAAGACACGGCTGCAGTCCGGTGTTCCACAGTGTTAAAAAAATGCAGTTTTTGCATTAGAGAAAAAATTTATAAAATAAAAGTCAACCTAAAGCGAATACAGGAAGTAAATGCATTAAAAAATAGCCGCTCTAGTGATAAGGCCTAGATTTACTATTAAAAACTTAGATTCGGAAAACAACGAATAGAGAAAATTTTATTGGACGCTAGGATACCATAACACAGTTCAATGGTATTACCATTATGCAAAAAGTGCTTCTACGCTACGCTTACTAAATATAGAACAAGAATGAGCAAGATATTTTACCAAGGAAGTTTGTAGAAGTTTAATTATTTAATTGCAAGTTGAGTTTCGTAAAAGAATTATTGTAGTTTTCATGTTATTTCAAAGAATGAGATAGTTAAAAAGATTCTCTGTTAAGTTAGATATTTAAGCTTTTAGAGTTAACAATCAGCATGTAGGGTAGAATGGTAATTTTTTAACATTAGGAATATTACTGAGGCACTTGGGCAGACTCGGACCACATAGTAGCTTCACAAAAATAAATGCTGATTTAATACATTACATTGTTTCTATTTAATAAGAATATTTAGTGACTTTTTTAAATAATTAAATAAGCAAACAATACTTATTTTTTCATAATTTCAAACAAATTTGTTGGGGATTGTGTCCCTTAGTTTATGGCATGGGGATGGTTTTTGAAATAAACTTTTGGACGCGAGTTGATGGTGACTCACACCAATCTACTGTGTCAGTGATAGTGTTTATTTTTTAGTAGGTGAAGGGTTAACCTACCAGGATAGGTCACTGATCTGATGGTAGTGTATATTTTTTTGGTAGGTAAAGGGTTAACCTACCAGGATAGGTCACTGATCTGATGGTAGTGTATATTCTTTAGTAGGTGAAGGGTTAACCTACCAGGATAGGTCACTGATCTGATGGTAGTGTATATTCTTTAGTAGGTGAAGGGTTAACCTACCAGGATAGGTCACTGATCTGATGGTAGTGTATATTTTTTTGGCAGGTGAAGGGTTAACCTACCAGGATAGATCACTGATCTGATGGTAGTGTATATTCTTTAGCAGGTAAAGGGTTAACCTACCAGGATAGGTCACTGATCTGATGGTAGTGTATATTCTTTAGTAGGTGAAGGGTTAACCTACCAGGATAGGTCACTGATCTGATGGTAGTGTATATTCTTTAGTAGGTGAAGGGTTAACCTACCAGGATAGGTCACTGATCTGATGGTAGTGTATATTCTTTAGTAGGTGAAGGGTTAACCTACCAGGATAGGTCACTGATCTGATGGTAGTGTATATTCTTTAGTAGGTGAAGGGTTAACCTACCAGGATAGGTCACTGATCTGATGGTAGTGTATATTCTTTAGTAGGTGAAGGGTTAACCTACCAGGATAGGTCACTGATCTGATGGTAGTGTATATTTTTTTGGCAGGTGAAGGGTTAACCTACCAGGATAGATCACTGATCTGATGGTAGTGTATATTCTTTAGCAGGTAAAGGGTTAACCTACCAGGATAGGTCACTGATCTGATGGTAGTGTATATTCTTTAGTAGGTGAAGGGTTAACCTACCAGGATAGGTCACTGATCTGATGGTAGTGTATATTCTTTAGCAGGGCGACTGGCATGGTCTGCTGAGTGTCATAAAGAATGACAGAGTCTTCAGTGGCCACAGCAAATACTACACGGTAGGGAAGGCTGAAAGATGAGTAGAGAAATTATTGGGAAGGCTGAAAGATGAGTAGAAAAATTATTGGGAAGGCTGAAAGATGAGTAGAAAAATTATTGGGAAGGCTGAAAGATGAGTAGAAAAATTATTGGGAAGGCTGAAAGATGAGTAGAAAAATTATTGGGAAGGCTGAAAGATGAGTAGAAAAATTATTGGGAAGGCTGAAAGATGAGTAGAAAAATTATTGGGAAGGCTGAAAGATGAGTAGAAAAATTATTGGGAAGGCTGACAGAAGAAAAATTATTGGGAAGGCTGACAGAAGAAAAATTATTGGGAAGGCTGAAAGATGAGTAGAAAAATTAAGATAACAGTACTATGGAATGAAAAATTGCAGGAGTAAAATACAATTAAGAGTGTATTACCAAAACAAAGATTTATGCTTATCCCAAACTTTTTGTGGGTCCGAACCTGAAACAGAAAAATTTTGTAAACAAAGTGGTACACTAGAATCTCATAAGCCATGAATTATCTGTACATGCTTATGGTCATGTGCAGTAAAAAGACTTGTGTCTTTGTATGTATGGTTAAGTGCAAGTAAAAAGACCTGTGTCCTTGTAAGGTTAAGTGCAGTAAAAAGACCTGAAGGTTAAATGCAAGTAAAAAGACCTGTGTCTTTGTAAGGTAAAGTGCAGTAAAAAGACCTGAAGGTAAAGTGCAAGTAAAAAGACCTGTGTCCTTGTAAGGTAAAGTGCAAGTAAAAAGACCTGTGTCCTTGTAAGGTAAAGTGCAAGTAAAAAGACCTGAAGGTTAAGTGCAAGTATAAAGACCTGTGTCCTTGTAAGGTTAAGTGCAAGTAAAAAGACCTGTGTCCTTGTAAGGTAAAATACAGTAAAAAGACCTGAAGGTTAAGTGCAAGTAAAAAGACCTGAAGGTAAAGTGCAAGTAAAAAGACCTGTGTCCTTGTAAGGTAAAGTGCAAGTAAAAAGACCTGAAGGTAAAGTGCAAGTAAAAAGACCTGAAGGTAAAGTGCAAGTAAAAAGACCTGAAGGTAAAGTGCAAGTAAAAAGACCTGTGTCCTTGTAAGGTAAAGTGCAAGTAAAAAGACCTGAAGGTAAAATGCAAGTAAAAAGACCTGAAGGTAAAGTGCAAGTAAAAAGACCTGAAGGTAAAGTGCAAGTAAAAAGACCTGTGTCCTTGTAAGGTAAAGTGCAGTAAAAAGACCAGAAGGTAAAGTGCAAGTAAAAAGACCTGAAGGTAAAGTGCAAGTAAAAAGACCTGAAGGTAAAGTGCAAGTAAAAAGACCTGTGTCCTTGTAAGGTAAAGTGCAGTAAAAAGACCAGAAGGTAAAGTGCAAGTAAAAAGACCTGAAGGTAAAGTGCAAGTAAAAAGACCTGAAGGTTAAGTGCAAGTATAAAGACCTGTGTCCTTGTAAGGTTAAGTGCAAGTAAAAAGACCTGTGTCCTTGTAAGGTAAAATACAGTAAAAAGACCTGAAGGTTAAGTGCAAGTAAAAAGACCTGAAGGTAAAGTGCAAGTAAAAATACCTGTGTCCTTGTAAGGTAAAGTGCAAGTAAAAAGACCTGAAGGTAAAGTGCAAGTAAAAAGACCTGAAGGTAAAGTGCAAGTAAAAAGACCTGAAGGTAAAGTGCAAGTAAAAAGACCTGTGTCCTTGTAAGGTAAAGTGCAGTAAAAAGACCAGAAGGTAAAGTGCAAGTAAAAAGACCTGAAGGTAAAGTGCAAGTAAAAAGACCTGAAGGTAAAGTGCAAGTAAAAAGACCTGTGTCCTTGTCTGTGCCTTCCGCTGGTCTGAGTTCATACAGCTGTGGGTTGACTCGTACCACAGTGGTGCTCTTCTCTACACTTGGTAGGTAAACAGCCGGCCTACAGCCACAAATATTTGGTTACTCACACAGCACAGTTTTGGTAAGACACATATCAAGCTATTTTTGAAAATATTATTGACTAACTGTATTTTTTCAAACATTTAAAAATGTTGAAAGTGCCCTTTTCAATCTGATGGTCAATGTGGCAGGTGAAGCAGAGTTAACCAGTTTCAGTAACCTCAGTATCCCTTCACTATCCCTTCAGTAAATGAAGGGATAGTGTGATCAGCAATAAGCCCAGCTGCTTTAATTTCCTTAACATGAGCCAGGTACCCATCACAACTGGGCGGACTCAGGGACGTTCTACTGAAAAACTTATCTCCAGACTTTTGGTTAGCAATCATCCGACCGCGCCATCCCACACAAAAAAATGTGTTAAATAATTTTCTTCAAATTACTGGACAAATAGCAAAAGCTTAAAAAAAAGTTCTTAAAATAAAATTTTTTTTGTTTAAAAACTACTTGCAAAATGGAAAAAATTAAACTAATTACTCAGAAAAAAATTAAAAATGAAATTACTTGCAAAATGGAAAAAATTAAACTAATTACTCAGAAAAAAATTAAAAATGAAATTACTTGGAAAATGGAAAAAATTGAACTAATTACTCAGAAAAAAGATTAAAAATGAAATTACTTGGAAAATGGAAAAATTTAAACTAATTACTCAGAAAAAAATTAAAAATGAAATTACTTGGAAAATGCTCCCCTGGCAAATATGTAGGAGGAATTGATGATCTTCCCATCTCCAAGCTCCAGACAACCAGCAGGCGCCATCAAGAGCTGGCCATCTGGTGAAAACTCCAGGCGTCTGAAGAATGACCTCAGGCTGTCGTCATGAAAGATTCTGAAAGATTTGGGTTTGGAGTCCTGCTGACCAGTCGCCTCGCTTGACCCCAGGGTTAGATGAGACGGCAGTGCCATCTTGTTTACATTGTTGACACAGCATTTAGAACTTAGATTGTACAAGCGCAAAGACCTGTGGAGATGACACCGCATGTAGACACTGACACGCCACGTAACATACAACTAAAGAGAGAAGAATTGAACAGCCAACACACCTGTCAGCGCTCAGGGTAGCCACGTAGTTTCCCAGTGGGTCAAAAGCCACACCCTGAACGTAACTTTTGTGCTCATTGAAGATGGCCACCTTCACATCTGTGGGGATAATAGAAAACTTGACCTGATGTTATGATGTATGTTTAACTAGACAAATTGGTGCGCATGAATGCTGGTACGAAGCTATAATATTGAACGAGTGAAAGTGTGACGCGGTACGCAAGAAAGTGACGTTTTAGTGTGAGTTCGTTGTTGCCGGGGAAGAAGCTTCAATTAGTATTGTTCGTGATGTGTTAGGGTGAGGTTGTCCAGTCTTAGTATCGTTTATTCAAGTCATCCGATGTCTATTTCTTATAGTGCAATAAATAGAAACAGTAAACAAGGTCGTCCTGTCGAATCATTAAATACGTTAATGTCGTCGTGTTTCAAGATGAACTACTGAATGGCAAGATGTAATAAAATGGAAGTGGTATCTGGATATTCTATTTGATCAAGTAGTTCTACTTTCTCACTGCATAGCCGCGGGACACATAGAGAACCCAGTTATAACACCTGGGATAATACAAAACTTTACCTGGGATAATACAAAACTTTACCTGGGATAATACAAAACTTTACCTGGGATAATACAAAACTTTACCTGGGATAATACAAAACTTTACCTGGGATAATACAAAACTTTACCTGGGATAATACAAAACTTTTTACTTTACCTGGGAAAATTCAAAACTTTACCCAACCTGCCCAGCAGCTCCCAAACTTTTTTTCTGACTAACTTGACAAACTAAAAATCCTTGCACCTATTTGTTTGACAAACTAAAAATCCTTGCACCTATTTGTTTGACAAACTAAAAATCCTTGCACCTATTTGTTTGACAAACTAAAAATCCTTGCACCTATTTGTTTGACAAACTAAAAATCCTTGCACCTATTTGTTTGACAAACTAAAAATCCTTGCACCTATTTGTTTGACAAACTAAAAATCCTTGCACCTATTTGTTTGACAAACTAAAAATCCTTGCACCTATTTGTTTGACAAACTAAAAATCCTTGCACCTATTTGTTTGACAAACTAAAAATCCTTGCACCAAATCCTTGCACCTATTTGTTTGACAAACTAAAAATCCTTGCACCTATTTGTTTGACAAACTAAAAATCCTTGCACCTATTTGTTTGACAAACTAAAAATCCTTGCACCTATTTGTTTGACAAACTAAAAATCCTTGCACCTATTTGTTTGACAAACTAAAAATCCTTGCACCTATTTGTTTGACAAACTAAAAATCCTTGCACCTATTTGTTTGACAAACTAAAAATCCTTGCACCTATTTGTTTGACAAACTAAAAATCCTTGCACCTATTTGTTTGACAAACTAAAAATCCTTGCACCTATTTGTTTGACAAACTAAAAATCCTTGCACCTATTTGTTTGACAAACTAAAAATCCTTGCACCTATTTGTTTGACAAACTAAAAATCCTTGCACCTATTTGTTTGACAAACTAAAAAGACATTTGAGCACATCCCACACACATCAACTGACCTTTGAGCACACCCCACACACATCAACTGACCTTTGAGCACACCCCACACACATCAACTGACCTTTGAGCACATCCCACACACATCAACTGACCTTTGAGCACACCCCACACACATCAACTGACCTTTGAGCACATCCCACACACATCAACTGACCTTTGAGCACACCCCACACACATCAACTGACCTTTGAGCACACCCCACACACATCAACTGACCTTTGAGCACATCCCACACACATCAACTGACCTTTGAGCACACCCCACACACATCAACTGACCTTTGAGCACATCCCACACACATCAACTGACATTTGAGCACATCCCCCACACAACTGACCTTTGAGCACATCCCACACACATTAACTGACCTTTGAGCACATCCCACACATCAACTGACCTTTGAGCACATCCCACACACATCAACTGACCTTTGAGCACATCCCACACACATCAACTGACCTTTGAGCACACCCCACACACATCAACTGACCTTTGAGCACATCCCACACACATCAACTGACCTTTGAGCACATCCCCCACACAACTGACCTTTGAGCACATCCCACACACATTAACTGACCTTTGAGCACATCCCACACATCAACTGACCTTTGAGCACATCCCACACACAACTGACCTTTGAGCACATCCCACACACATCAACTGACCTTTGAGCACATCCCACACACATCAACTGACCTTTGAGCACACCCCACACACACCAACTGACCTTTGAAGCACATCCCACACACATCAACTGACCTTTGAGCACATCCCACACACAACTGACCTTTGAGCACATCCCACACACATCAACTGACCTTTGAGCACACCCCACACACATCAACTGACCTTTGAGCACATCCCCCACACAACTGACCTTTGAGCACATCCCACACACATCAACTGACCTTTGAGCACATCCCCCACACAACTGACCTTTGAGCACACCGCACACAAATCAACTGACCTTTGAAGCACATCCCACACACATCAACTGACCTTTGAGCACATCCCACACACAACTGACCTTTGAGCACATCCCACACACATCAACTGACCTTTGAGCACACCCCACACACATCAACTGACCTTTGAGCACATCCCCCACACAACTGACCTTTGAGCACATCCCACACACATCAACTGACCTTTGAGCACATCCCACACACAACTGACCTTTGAGCACACCCCACACATCAACTGACCTATGAGCACACCACACACACATCAACTGACCTTTGAGCACATCCCACACACATCAACTGACCTTTGAGCACATCCCACATCAACTGACCTTTGAGCACATCCCACACAACTGACCTTTGAGCACACCCCACACATCAACTGACCTATGAGCACACCACACACACATCAACTGACCTTTGAGCACACCCCACACACATCAACTGACCTTTGAGCACACCCCACACATCAACTGACCTTTGAGCACATCCCACACACAACTGACCTTTGAGCACATCCCACACACATCAACTGACCTTTGAGCACATCCCACACACATCAACTGACCTTTGAGCACACCCCACACACACCAACTGACCTTTGAGCACATCCCACACACATCAACTGACCTTTGAGCACACCCCACACACACCAACTGACCTTTGAGCACATCCCACACACATCAACTGACCTTTGAGCACACCCCACACACACCAACTGACCTTTGAGCACATCCCACACATCAACTGACCTTTGAGCACATCCCACATCAACTGACCTTTGAGCACATCCCACACAATAGCACTGTTGTCCACAGACCCTGACACCAGATAACGGTTGTCTTTAGACCAGCACAGGTCAGCTACATCCCCCAGGTGACCCCTGCTCATCAAATAAGTGACATAGTACAGGCATTTTGTGACAAAAGATAACCTCAGTGTTTTGTGACAAAAGATTACCTCAGTGTTTTGTGACAAAAGATTACCTCAGTGTTTTGTGACAAAAGATTACCTCAGTGTTTTGTGACAAAAGATTACCTCAGTGTTTTGTGACAAAAGATTACCTCAGTGTTTTGTGACAAAAGATTACCTCAGTGTTTTGTGACAAAAGATTACCTCAGTGTTTTGTGACAAAAGATTACCTCAGTGTTTTGTGACAAAAGATTACCTCAGTGTTTTGTGTAAAAAGATTACCTCAGTGTTTTGTGTAAAAAGATTACCTCAGTGTTTTGTGACAAAAGATTACCTCATTGTTTTGTGACAAAAGATTAGCTCAGTGTTTTGTGACAAAACATTACCTCAGTGTTTTGTGTAAAAAGATTACCTCAGTGTTTTGTGACAAAAGATTACCTCAGTGTTTTGTGACAAAAGATTACCTCAGTGTTTTGTGACAAAAGATTACCTCAGTGTTTTGTGACAAAAGATTACCTCATTGTTTTGTGACAAAAGATTACCTCATTGTTTTGTGACAAAAGATTACCTCAGTGTTTTGTGACAAAAGATTACCTCAGTGTTTTGTGTAAAAAGATTACCGCAGTGTTTTGTGACAAAAGATTACCTCAGTGTTTTGTGACAAAAGATTACCTCAGTGTTTTGTGACAAAAGATTACCTCATTGTTTTGTGACAAAAGATTACCTCATTGTTTTGTGACAAAAGATTACCTCAGTGTTTTGTGGCAAAAGATTACCTCAGTGTTTTGTGTAAAAAGATTACCTCAGTGTTTTGTGACAAAAGATTACCTCAGTGTTTTGTGACAAAAGATTACCTCAGTGTTTTGTGACAAAAGATTACCTCAGTGTTTTGTGTAAAAAGATAACCTCAGTGTTTTGTGACAAAAGATTACCTCAGTGTTTTGTGACAAAAGATTACCTCAGTGTTTTGTGACAAAAGATTACCTCATTGTTTTGTGACAAAAGATTACCTCAGTGTTATGTGACAAAAGATTACCTCAGTGTTTTGTGACAAAAGATTACCTCAGTGTTTTGTGACAAAAGATTACCTCAGTGTTTTGTGACAAAAGATTACCTCAGTGTTTTGTGACAAAAGATTACCTCAGTGTTTTGTGACAAAAGATTACCTCAGTGTTTTGTGACAAAAGATTACCTCAGTGTTTTGTGACAGACCCAGGATTCTTTGTCTTCCTCTGCATCATCATCAACAAAAATATTGTTTGTTGGGGTGGGGACGTCGCTTAGCTTCCACAAGATGATGGCTGTATCTGAAGACAAAATGTGCGGTTTAATTAATTGCAATCAAATTGTTTCCACTTTCAGTTTTTGTTAAACAATTTATTCAAATTTTTTTTAAAAACGGTAACAATTGTAAGCACGAAGGCCTTTTTTCACATTCGCCGTTTAAACAAATAAAACAACAATTCAATAACACATAGCAGTAACATAGCACTAAAAATGTGGAATAAAGAAATAATGTTACATAGTTATAATACAAAATGAGATTAAAAAAGAATATAATAGATGAATGAGAAATGTTTCAATGAGTCAGTTAGAGAGGTCATTAAATAATTGTTGTTTTAGTTTAGATTTGAACATATTTTCAGACCTAGATAGCTTTATTTTATTAGGAAGATCGTTCCACAAATTAGAACCAGAGTAGGTGAAGCTATGTTTTTGGAAAAAAGTTGTATATGGGAACGGTAAAAATGGACTAACTGACACACAAGGTCATGGTCAGAGTTGACGACATCCAGCAGCCCCAAACTATTTGTAACTGAATTGTAACAATAAGCATGGAACAACTAAAGACTGTCACCAACTTGTAACAATAAGCATGAAACAACTAAGGAATGTCACCAACTTGTAACAATAAGCATGGAACAAGTAAAGAATGTCACCAACTTGTAACAATAAGCATGGAACAACTAAAGAATGTCACCAACTTGTAACAATAAGTATGGAACAACTAAAGAATGTCACCAACTTGTAAAAATAAGCATGGAACAAGTAAAGAATGTCACCAACTTGTAACAATAAGCATGGAACAACTAAAGAATGTCACCAACGTAACAATAAGCATGGAACAAGTAAAGAATGTCACCAACTTGTAACAATAAGTATGGAACAACTAAAGAATGTCACCAACTTGTAACAATAAGCATGAAACAACTAAAGACTGTCACCAACTTGTAACAATAAGCATGGAACAACTAAAGAATGTCACCAACTTGTAACAATATACATACCATCACCAGCTGTAGCTAAAAGCTCTCCTGAAACATAAATTAATTAGTTTTTACCATCATCAACAACATTAGGTAGCTTTTACCATAATAAACAGCAATAGGTAGGAAAAGTCTATGTAATCAGAATAAATTTTTGAAAACAATCTTTTTAAAATTGGGCAAGAGATAAAATTAAAGCCGTTTGGGAACCATCCATTACACCCATTTTAATATTTTTGTATCTAATATAAGCAGCTGAAAAGCCATTTAGAATTATTTTATCAATTCATCAAATATTTTCAAAAACTGCCCTCAACCTCTCCTTGAAGTCAACTGGAATGCCCAGAGAGAGTAAAACAATTAAAGTCGGAACAATTGTTTTCCGCGATAAAAAGTACACAATAGTGATCTATGGTGTGTAACGTAGTATTGTTTTTATATTAAATAATTTAACATCTCCAATCACCACAACACCCTGACTCTACTAATCCAAAAATAAAAGTGTTTGTTAAATAACTACTAAATTCTTAGTAATTATTTCTTTGACTATTTCTAGCCTTAAAGAAACCAGAAGTAATTTTGTACTTTTTACACAAATGTTATAAAATATTCAATTTTGGTTGAAAAATTTGCTTTCTGGAACCATTTAGAACCAGCTTTTCAAGTCTATTAGGTTGTAATTAGTTTTTTGCTTGATTAAAATTTAAGTTGATAGTGATGTGAAAATAAATTAGCCACAGCAACATAGCACTTACCATTTTTGGAAAAACGAACAACATTAACAGTTGCTGTGTGTCTCCTTAGGTTAGACAGGAAAGAAAACCAGGCTTTCCCTTCAGCATCCAGGGTCAGCTGCCATATCTGGGTACATTCAATTTAGATTTGAACCAAAATTAAATAAAACAAACACAAAATCCTTTATAAAATATGCTTTTAATAAATGCACGGAAAATAAGAAAATAAACTAATTTGCTAAATATGTAAGTGATCACTTGAGGGACCAACGCTTTTATTAAAGAAAGAAAATCAGTTTTATTTTGTTACTTTCAGTGCCTTTATTAGTTTATTAACATAAAGTAGAGAGATTTTTTAATATTTGTTTTATTTTCCACGCCTTGAATAATCTGTTCTAAATGAGGTTGACACCCAATAGGTGATGATTAAAAATATTTGTGGTTAAAAGTAGCTTTCAATCTCTAAAAGACAGTTATCTGCCCCTTCTTAATCCACTGTCTACATCTCTGCAAAATTCACCCAGCCATGAAAACACAGCTAACCAAATTCAGCCAGCCATGAAAACACAGCTAACCAAATTCACCCAGCCATGAAAACACAGCTAACCAAATTCAGCCAGCCATGAAAACACAGCTAACCAAATTCAGCCAGCCATGAAAACACAGCTAACCAAATTCAGCCATCCATGAAAACACAGCTAACCAAATTCACCCAGCCATGAAAACACAGCTAACCAAATTCAGTCAGCCATGAAAACACAGCTAACCAAATTCACCCAGCCATGAAAACACAGCTAACCAAATTCAGCCAGCCATGAAAACACAGCTAACCAAATTCACCCAGCCATGAAAACACAGCTAACCAAATTCACCCAGCCATGAAAACACAGCTAACCAAATTCAGCCAGCCATGAAAACACAGCTAACCAAATTCACACAGCCATGAAAACACAGCTAACCAAATTCAGCCAGCCATGAAAACACAGCTAACCAAATTCACACAGCTAACCAAATTCAGCCAGCCATAAAAACACAGCTAACCAAATTCAGCCAGCCATGAAAACACAGCTAACCAAATTCAGCCAGCCATGAAAACACAGCTAACCAAATTCAGCCAGCCATAAAAACACAGCTAACCAAATTCAGCCAGCCATGAAAACACAGCTAACCAAATTCAGCCAGCCATGAAAACACAGCTAACCAAATTCAGCCAGCCATGAAAACACAGCTAACCATCAACGGTCAGCCGACAGAGTGATCACTGAAACTTAATCTTGTTATCTCATCTTTTAATATTTACTTTTTTAAAATTAAATTTGATGGAGTAACCTCATTAAGAAATTGCTACATTAAAGATGGTTACAATCGAGTTACAAGATTTTCCCCAACCCACAATCCTAGAGACGCGACCTAAATAAAAGCTTATAAAAACATTTTTAGTGCTGGAATTATATCATAATTCTAAAGATCAGAAGTGAGGGCTAGATAGTCCATCTCGACTAATAGTATGGCCGTACAACACAAAACTTTTTAAAAATTTAATTAATGAAAACGACTACTTAGAATTATGAATTTTATTATTAATCTAGTGAGAAAATAAAACAAGTGACTTACTCTGACAATTTTATCAACGCCTCCGCTAGCCATAAAACAAGTGACTTACTCTGACAATTTTATCAACGCCTCCGCTAGCCATAAAACAAGTGACTTACTCTGACAATTTTATCAACGCCTCCGCTAGCCATAAAACAAGTGACTTACTCTGACAATTTTATCAACGCCTCCGCTAGCCATAAAACAAGTGACTTACTCTGACAATTTTATCAACGCCTCCGCTAGCCATAAAACAAGTGACTTACTCTGACAATTTTATCAACGCCTCCGCTAGCCATAAAACAAGTGACTTACTCTGACAATTTTATCAACGCCTCCGCTAGCCATAAAACAAGTGACTTACTCTGACAATTTTATCAACGCCTCCGCTAGCCATAAAACAAGTGACTTACTCTGACAATTTTATCAACGCCTCCGCTAGCCATAAAACAAGTGACTTACTCTGACAATTTTATCAACGCCTCCGCTAGCCATAAAACAAGTGACTTACTCTGACAATTTTATCAACGCCTCCGCTAGCCATAAAACAAGTGACTTACTCTGACAATTTTATCAACGCCTCCGCTAGCCATAAAACAAGTGACTTACTCTGACAATTTTATCAACGCCTCCGCTAGCCATAAAACAAGTGACTTACTATGACAATTTTATTAACGCCTCCACTAGCCATAAAACAAGTGACTTACTCTGACAATTTTATTAACGCCTCCACTAGCCATAAAACAAGTGACTTACTCTGACAATTTTATCAACGCCTCCGCTAGCCAGTCGCTGGAGCTGTGGATGGCCCGGCTGAAAATCAATGCTATAAATAGGATCTCTCTCATGCCACGAGATTTCCGGGGTAATAACCTTCATCCCTGGATGCTAGGGGAAAAGAGGAAGTAACTAGCATGACTTTACAAATACATGTCTTAATTATTGATTAATAGTCAAATGAACCAGCTTGATATTTATTCTAGCTAGCTCAATACAAACCTTAAGTGTGGACTAAAGCTAAAAATGATACATCTATAACTTAAAATGATACATCTATAACTAAAAATGATACATCTATAATCAGATTGACAGCCTCTATCAATCAAAGATGCACACATTTTTTTTTATCATTTTATCTTTAAATTGGCTTAAAACTCAAACTTTAACTGAATAGGCCTATTTCTCTGTGACTTTCTTAAAAAAAAAAAGTTACAAGAAGCTTTAGCCCAGACTTTGGTCACAAAAGCCTTTAGACTAGACTTTGTTCAATCTGATTCTGAAATGTGGGTAAGTGTAACCAGGTCTTCTGACCAATCCATTTTTATTGCTTTATTTAATTTATTATGTAAACATGAGACTGGATAAGCCAGTCAGCCAACCTGATGAATGTTAATTGTTAGGTAATTTCAGATATAAAAGTCATTAATTTGGGATATATAAATATAGGCCTACTAAAAAATTCACTACTTAGGCTACTTAGATTCTACCTCGAATTTTATAAAAAGCTTCTTGTAACGATACACTATTTCTATTATACATGCTATGCTTTTTAAATTGATAATGGGTAAGAAGTATACCAAGTTCCATAACCTGCAATCTAACTAAAAATAGTCATAAATCTAGCCAAATGATTGGATTCTTGCACTGCACATCCCCCCCCCCCCCGCACCTTGTTTTCACAACAACAAAAATATTACAATAAAATTATTGAGTGGTGATCATTTACACTTAACACATCCCATAAACACAATAAACTATTACCATTTTCATTTAAATGTAGGCCCTAATGACTAATGTGTGTAGTATTCACATAGGCAGTCCCCTCTCTTTCTCTCTATCACTATCACTCTCCACCCCACCCCCACATTGTCTGGTGAGCTGTGGTCATGCTAAATTTTTACAAATCGTATTAAGGGCAGATAATTTAGTTTGAAACGATTTTAAACTTACAGGAGGTAACTAAGAGGATTTTGCTTTCACCGGGGTGGGGGGGGGGGGGGGGGGGGTTGGGGAAAGGAGGGGGAGGGTTATCGTCCTTAACGAGCAACTGGTAGTGTTTTAAAGCAAATATTTTCAGTGGCAGCATTGGTACTGTCGATTTCACAAATTATGAAATACTGAGAAGTAGAAAATAAAACTAAATAGCGACGTATGATACGCCGCGGGTCGGCTCGTACTATTTATTTGTATTAGGGCCTACTAGTACTAGATCTAGATCTAGTAGTAGTTGTAATAGATTGACTATAGAAGCATGTGATTGTATATAAAACGTTTATTGGCTTCAACTACATGATGAAAACGAGAGAGGGCGGAAGTGACGAGACACAAAAATATATATTAGTTTTTCTTACTATTTGTGAAATCTACTTAATTCTCAATTTAAACATGACAACTGAATAAAAAACGTCCATACTTTATCCTCTAGGCACTAAATTTGGGGGTTGTAGCGAGTTTAGACTAAATTATTGAATTTTAAATTTATTTGTCACTCACAGCTATGATATGACGGATCATCCATGACAACCTGGTTAAAAGTTGAAAGGTTTAACTTTTTAAGTGACCGTGAAATAGATCTAATTTTTTTTCACAAGAGAGTTCCTAAAAGTAGAATTGGCCCGTCTATCGTCGGGTAATATTTTTAGAGGAAAAAAATTTAAGAGAATGTCATCAGAAAAGAATTAAAAAAAAGACAAGACAGAAGTGATTTTTGAATTCTTTTATTTCTTTAATTTTATGACATTTTTTATTGTACAAAAGAGCAAAAAAAAAAACCATGCCAGGTAAACGTATCCATTCAAATAGCGGTCACGTGGTCAAAAAAAATAAAAAAAATTTGGTTGTCATTTCTCGGTCGATCTTATAAAAAAACGGTTGAAGATATTTGATTTATTTTTTCATAGAATGATAAAACTAATAATGCTTTACTGTGGAAATAAATTTTGTGATATGGAAATCTATATTTAAAAAGTTATATTATTTTGAATGACACCGACTTTAAATTTAGCCAACATCCCCCAAAGCAATTTTTGAAAATGCTTTTCTGGCATATTTAGCCTTGCCACCTATAGCATGTTTTTATAACGTGAAAACCCGCCATTTTACTCGTGATAAACATTTTTAAAAGTAATTCTAAGAAGGTCTCTGGAACTAAGTCGAAAAACTCGCCGGAAGTCATGGTCCGATCCTTACGCCATGTTCTGGTTAGCAACCAAGGACGCTTTTAAGTTAGTGAGCCTCCCTAATATATATACATATAAGGGACATCACTCAAGATAACAGTATAAATATAATACTAATACAAGAAGAGTGAGTTCCCTTGACTTCACAATTCTCACTATATTACAGTAGTATTACTAGGTCTAGATCTAGACCTGGAAATCTCTAAAATTAAAATCATTCACATTTGTCATTTAGTCAGGGTCTAACTCTAAAAGTGACTAAAAGCTAGATAATCTAGATTTCTAGATCTAGTCAGTAGGTTCTTAAACTAAAATAAAAAGTGAAAAAAGCCTTACGCCTTAGATTTCTAGTAGATCTAGGCCTAAAAATACTGTAACTGTAAAGGCCTAAATTATAATATAATAATATTTTGAACTACATCGAGATCTAGAATCTAGATCTAGATAGATATCTTATAATATCTACTCTCTAGATCTAGAATTAGATCTAAATCTAGAATCTAGTAAGTAGTAGGCCATATCTATCTACCTTTTCTCGCCTCTCGACTCAGTCAGTGACTCCTCAGTGTGTACTGTACTGTGTTACTGTTGTTACGGGTAGTGTAGACTCGTAGTAGACTGTGTGTTGACCGTGTAAACCGTGTTGTAGTGTGGAATCAGGAATGTTTACAATTATTTAAGTAAAACATTCAGCTTACGATATGTAGATCTATACTAGATCTAGAGATCTAGATTAAATCCAGATTTTAGAGATCTAACACTTAGATCTAGGACGAGTTAAAATTCAAGAAAAGAAATTTTAAGAATATGCTTAACGATCATTATTATTACTTAGATTTACTATAAAAATCTATCTCTACAACAGATTCGCGCGTAATTTTCTAAAATTACGAACCGGACCACATCTAATTTGTTTCGTTTACTATAATAAAACTGGGACGTGGTCATTTTTATTTGAAACAGAACTGAGAACACTAATTAGATTTAGATCTAGATCTAAAATAGATCTAGAACTAGATCTAGATTTTTTAAAAGTTACGACAGCTACAGTATTAAAGTCAAATCATTCAGCAAAATATTATATAGATCTAGCTTATAACAGAAACTTTTGAAACTGATTTATTTATAAAATATTGACAGTGTGAACATTTATTTACTGTAGAGGGTCAACTTGACTTAAAAATAGTAAATAGTAATCTATCTATATACTACTAAAACTCAACTTTGTTTACATGTTTGAATATTTATTTGTTTGCCTGATCGAAAATTGTGATATGTTCGACTCTATCTGGAAAGCTGTAAAATGGTATGCAGGTAGAGAATAATTTTTTAATGCAGACAGACTGTTGATCACAAATTTATTTAAAGACGTTAATTAATTTATTGATTTATTCCTACGCAGAATAACCCATTTTTTTTAAAATGTTAAAACCTTGACTAAACTTTGTGGGAATAGTGACGTCACAGGTTTTTGTTTACTCTTTAGTACAATAAAATGGCGGCGTCTATTGAAGAAAATTGTGTTCCCATTCAAAAGTTTAACGCGTTCTAAATCTAATTTTCTGTCGGTCATAACTTTAACAATACGTCCGTTTGCTGTATTTATTACGTCCCAACACTTATATCAATTTTCAACTGTCTTTTTCATTTAGTTTTACGATAAATTTCTCTAGATCTAAAGATCAGCTATCGAAGGAAATTTATGAATCTAGCCTAGATCTAGATCTAGATCTAGCCTAGATGTAGGTCACTAGATTCAATGTAAATTCTACATCTAGAATCTATTTCAGGCCTTAATTATTTTATATAAATCTTTGTTTGGCTTATTTAAGATAAAATTTAATTTGAAAGTTAGTACTACTAGACTTATTTTTAGATCTAGATCTAGAATCTATACGCGTAAATCAAGTTGCATAAGGAGACACATAGTATAAAATAAAAATTCACTTGTGACGTCACGAGTAAATAGCTAAAATGGTAGCGTAGTCAGCTCTCATGCAGGAGGCACGGGTTCTAGACCAATATGTCAATGAAATTTTTTTTTTCAATTTTTTTTTTTAGATGTGAATGATAACGTTGCCTATCTGAACTTGGCAAGATACAGGGCAGGTGAAGTAGAGTTCATCTGTTTCTTTGTCCTAAGCATATGAAAGGATAGTGTGGTCAGATACATGCTCGGCTGGAATTGTTTTTTAAACGATAAAAACATGTTGTCTGAGACTTGGCAGGACACTGGGCAGGTGAAGTAGAGTTGAGTAGGTCACCTGTGACGTCAGTTTATGAAGGGATAGTCCGAAATCGGTGTTTTCGGTGTTTTTAAAAGATAAAAAACATATATTTGAATGTGGGGTCTGTTTTTTGTGACGATAAGTGACACTGCAGTAGCGTACCGAGGAGGGGGGGGGGGGAACGGTAGGGGAGGGGAGGCGGGGGGGTGGGGAGGGGAGGCGGGGGGGGGGGAAGGGGAGGCGGGGGTGGGGAGGTGGAGGGGGGAAGGGGGGGGGACATATGTTGGGGCGCCCAAAATGGTTTGGAAAAATAAATTGATAGGTTGAGGGGGGTTCAAATCGAAAGTTTGAGTGGGGGGGGGGGGAATTGCACATCAAAAGTTTGAGGGGGGGGGGGTTCAAATCGAAAACTTTGTCCCCGGGCGCCGGGAAGGGTCGCTATGCCTCTGAGTGACAGACGTGATGTTTTTTGATGGATGACCCCCGAAACCCACAGTTATCCAACGGATGACGGGTATTCTAGTATACTACTAAAAGTCAAGTTTGTTTACATGTTTGAATATTTATTTGTTTGTTTGTTTGTTTGCCTGATCGACTGTTGTGATATGTTCGACTCTATCTGGAAAGCTGTAAAATAGTATGTAGGTAGAGAATAATTTTTTAATGCAGACAGACTGTTAATCACAAATTTATTTAAAGACGTTAATTAATTTATTGATTTATTCCTACGCAGAATAACCCATTTTTTTTTAAAATGTTAAAACCTTGACTAAACTTTGTGGGAATAGTGACGTCACAGGTTTTTGTTTACTCTTTAGTACAATAAAATGGCGGCGTCTATTGAAGAAAATTGTGTTCCCATTCAAAAGTTTAACGCGTTCTAAATCTAATTTTCTGTCGGTCATAACTTTAACAATACGTCCGTTTGCTGTATTTATTACGTCCCAACACTTATATCAATTTTAAACTGTCTTTTTTCATTTAGTTTTTCAATAAATTTCTCTAGATCTAAAGATCAGCTGTCGAAGGAAAGTATTTATAGATCTAGATCTAGAATCTAGGTCAAATCAAATCTAATTTTCTGTCGGTCATAACTTTAACAATACGTCCGTTTGCTGTATTTATTACGTTCCAACACTTATATCAATTTTCAACTGTCTTTTTCATTTAGTTTTACGATAAATTTCTCTAGATCTACAATCTGTCCAAGAAAGTTATTTATTTATTTATAGATCTAGATCTAGAATCTAGGTCAAATCAAATATTTATTGATTATAAATACAATCCAAAAAAAAAAAGAGACTTAAGCAAACCAGTCGTAGATCTAGAATATAGATAATTCTATTCTATCTAGATTTAGATAATAGTGATTTTCTATATACTAAACTATTTTAGACCTTTATTATTTTATATAAATCTTTGTTTGGAATATGGTAATTTTGAAATGCTCGCTCCGGGCCCATCAGCGTAGCTAATGATTAGATCTAGATCTAGATTCTAGATCTAGCAAGAAAAACTAAACTTAAGACTTAAGCAAACGAGTCGTAGAATCTAGATCTAGATAATTCTACCTAGATCTAGATAATTTCAGACCTTCTTTATTTTATATAAATCTTTGTTTGTATAGCTATGAAATATGCTAATTAGGAAATGCTCGCTCCATGGCCTCTATTTGCATAATTTAAGATTTATACGCGGCTTCTATACTGCTAATTTTGCAAAATTATGAACGTAAACTCTAGATATAGCTCAGTCGTAGATCTAGAATATAGATAATTCTATCTAGATTTAGATAATAATAAGTTTCTATGGAATTGGCTAATTTAAGATAAAATTTAATTTGAAAGTTAGTACTACTATACCTAGATCTAGAATCTATGCGCTTAAATCAAGTTGCATAAGTATAGTATAAAAATTCACTTGTGACGTCACGTGTAAATAGCTAAGTTGGTAGCGTAGCCCGCTCTCATGTGGGTGGCACAGGTTCTAGACCAATATGTCAATGATATTTTTTTTTTTTTGTTTAGATGTGAATGATAAAGTTGCCTATCTGAACTTGGAAGGATACAAGGCAGGTGAAGTAGAGTACATCTGTTTCTTTGTCCTAAGCATATGAAAGGATAGTGTGATCAGAGACATGCTCGGCTGGAATCGTTTTTTAAACGATAAAAACATGTTGTCTGAGACTTGGCGGGACACTGGGCAGGTGAAGTAGAGTTGAGTAGGTCACATGTGACGTCAGTATATGAAGGGATAGTCCGAAATCGGTGTTTTCGGTGTTTTTAAAAGATAAGAAAACATATTTTTGAATGTGGGATCTGTTTTTTGTGACGATAAGTGACACTGCAGTAGCGTAGCGAGGAGGGGGGGGGGGGGCGGGAGGGGGAGGGGAGGCGGGGGGGGGGGGAGGGGAGGTGGAGGGGGGAAGGGGGGCGCGTGGGGGGACATATGTTGGGGCGCCAAAATGGTTTGGAAAAATAAATTGAAAGGTTGAGGGGGGGGGTGCAAATCGAAAGTTTGAATGGGGGGGTGCACATCAAAAGTTTGAGGGGGGGGGTGCAAATCGAAATCTTGCGGGGGGGGGGGGTTCAAATCGAAAAGTTTGTCCC